TATGACTGACCACTAACTGGCATTTTTAAAGGCAAGCTTTTTGTTGAGAAGCCCCCACCACCACCACCACCACCACCACCACCATACATACATCGTGCAATAAAACAAGACTCACAGTCTAGCATGAGCAATGCTCTTGCAGGAGATGTATCTCTGAACCTGTGACTGGTTGGTCCCATATATACTGGTCCAAAGAAATGTCCCTCCAATGGCAACAGTCCAAAAAGTGTGTCTTCTCAGAGGGTTTGTATCAAAGCTGATGAGACATAAAAAGGGAGAAATTTGAGTTTATTGATTGCTTCTGAATTCAAGAGGCTGGTTAGCTAATCTCCAATGTGCACCATTCACAAAAATGTGCTTTAAAGGAGTTTACAACAAGTGAAATCACTAGCAGTACACTAGGAATGCTCCACAGTATGAGACATTAAATTTCCACACAACTGCTACGGTGCTTAGCCGCATTTGTGGAAAGAATTGTTCTTATTGCTGTGTATGTATATTGTTGTTGATTTAGTGATGATATACTGAGTCAACCCATAGCATGAAAACTATCACTGTAAATTAGTGTTACTGTTCCTCTTTTGTTTTGGTGAATACTCACTCCCAGAAGTTGATTCTCCCTCCGTGTTGTGAATCTGAAAAGATGTTGATGACTCCACCTTGTAGGATCACAGATGCGATGATGACAGACAGGAAACCTGCGATCATTACACCGAGCTGGAGGAAAAAAATACCACTTTTAGTTTGCTTATTGAATGTTGATGGAAACGGTGATAAAAACTAGTGTTTGACTTGTAAACAAGAGCAGAAAATGCTGGTGTTTTGAATGAAGCAAAACACCAGCATGCTGATGTGGTGTGCAGTTACTATTTATGAAACACCAGTGTACATTGTTGTCTCTCCAACCACAAGCAGCATGAGGCATAACGGGTGAGCTCTGATTTAGTCAGTACCACACCAACCACCTGGTGTGTTATTATTTCCCCGAGGAGCCTACCTGAAACACGTCTGTCCACACCACTGCCTTTAGACCACCCTGTAACAATGCAGACCAAAGTCAGATTTCACAAAGGGCTGCTGTATATTTCCATTTGGTGGTATGACTCTTTTCTTAGACCTTCAAGAACCAAATAGGCACCAATAACTGCAGATATGATACTGATTACAATTATTGAGTCAGATATTGCATTAAAAGGTAGAAGGTTGAAAAACTTCTACATGTGCATGAGTCTAGGGAAGCTTAAGTAGTGCACACTTTCTGAGGTTTCCTAGGTTTGTAGAAGTGTATCATCATGATGACACTGGGATCCTTTGATCGATGGTGATCGGGGCTGAGCTTGACTTTGTGGCCTGCCTGAATGAGCCCATTTTCTCATTATTTAATCATTCTTGTCAAAATGTATTTAAAAAATTGGGGACCGCAGAATTCATTCAATCAAATTTTGTTACATACCAGTGTGCAGTAAAATGTACAGACCACTCCCGTGGAAATGACCGCACCCCACAGATTCATCCCGGTCACTGAGGAATGAACCACTGGTCAGTCAACTGGATAAAACCGAGTACGCGTAAGTGCCCTCGTGCAGGAATGTTTTATGAATGTGACCACTGTGTTGGACCGCAAGCAAACATACCTTGGTTTAAAGCAAGAGCTGGAACATAAATGACAATTCCACTGTAGAGGATCTGTCACAGGAAAAAAAAAGTTCCCCGAGTGACTGATATGTGGTTTTACCTACACAGGTCAAAACCCTGTAATTATGTGTAGACAGGCCTCTTACTCACTGTTTGGACAATGAACAGCAGTGTGCCCAGCAGACGGGTTGCTCTGTTAAAACGCAGCTCCAGATACTTCATAGTGACAGAAGTAGAGAGACAAGATAAAAGTATGAGTAAGATGATGCATTTCTATCAAGTCATAAAATGTTTTTGTCTCATTAAATTAACCAGCGCCTTAAAGTCGAACCCAATCACTCCCTTTACTCCTCTTTGGTTTGAATCTATCGATAATCTGTTTTTCATCTCCATGCACCATAGTTCATGACATAAAGTGAGACAAAAGCAACATCTGAAACTTGAAAACCACACACCATAATGTTTAGTAGCCGGGGCTCTCTTTACAAACCACTTTCGACTTTCTTTGACTTTTACCAAGTTACTTGGCAATATTGTATTTTATCTATCTCAGTCCACAAAAACGACGTGCTCTTTATTCTTTCAGTGTCATTCTTGTTTTGTTTTTTACCAAGCCTAACACAGGCCTTTTGTTTGCACAGTAGTGCAACGGTGATCAAATGTCTCTGTCCCTTTCTCGATAACAGTTCAAAATTATCTTTCACATGTAGACATTTCATTCCTGTGTAAACAGAGTCTGGTGGAATTGCAAAACAGAAATCAGACGATCCACACAGCACAGCGCTGAAAAAAGGGGAAGAAAAAGTACTCCTACCTCAAAAGTGCTGGTGATTTCCAGCTTGTAGAAGATGGGGAGGAAGACCTCAGATGTGATCAGCATCGCCATTAAATAGGAGAGACCGTAAAATCCGATATTGGCTCCGTATTGGTAAACCTACAGAGGGATTGTATGAATTATTGTAGCTATTAAAAAAAAGAAAATTCAGCCTTGCTTCCATTCAATAACTGTCACATTTTGGATTTGTCCCTTGTGAATCTGCGTTTTACTTTACCTCAGCTGGAAAGGACAGCACTGTGATGGCTGACATGAAGCTGGCGGTCAGGGACAGGGAGACGGGCAGAGCTGTCAGCTTGCGGCCTCCAGTTAAAAAGTTCCCGGGGTTTCTCCGGCTCCTGTCCACCCAGGCGTAGTAGATCCCCACAGCGGCGGACACCACCAGCATGAGAGCGAACACCACATAGTCCGCCAATGCGAAGGAGGTAACTGCCATTTTAGTCAAAGTTGGAAACAAAGCTTTGAGATTTATTCAGAAAGTTATTCAAACCTCCCCCATGTGTAGAAGTCCTGGCACATCACCTTCTCGCTGAACACTGAGCTGAGAGCAAAATCACACCGCTGTGGGTGTGTGTGAGGGAGGCAGGGAGGGAGGGAGACAGGTGGATATAGAGAGAGAGTTAGTTCCAGGGAAGTACAGTAGCTGCAATATATGAAAAATCCACAGGCCAGCAAATATTTGTGATATCAAGTCTTCGTGACCGCAGAAAAAGTGTTTTTTATCAACCCCATGCTTGTGTTTCAAGAGGTTTTTTTGGAGAAAACTGTGTGTTTTTGACAATGTTTTCGCCTTTTTATACTTCAATTTACAGAAATACACACTTAAAAAAATGATCATGCCACTAACACAAGAAAATGATTTTTTAATTAAAAATCTATTGCAGTGTGTCATAGAGACAAACGTTTATTATGTTTATCTTGCTCCTCATTGTTGCTGTTTCAGTATAAGAAAAAAGGCCCTCTTCAAATCATACTAAAAACACTACTGTCCACCAATGTAACAATAACCAGGGCTAGCAGAGCGTAACTTTTTGAGTGTGTCTGAAGAGTCTGTGGTTTTTGATAAGGCTCAGAATTCAGCAAAGCAGATAAAAAGAGGGAAGGGACTTGAGAAGTTGTGTAAAGTGTGATTTTACTGGCAGTTTTGAGAATGTGGACTAGATTTTGAAAGTTATGGGACTGGATCTTTCTGGATTTGAATCCTTGTTGTTGCTGCAGCACCAGAGTCAGCTGGGCTACAGTTTATCAGACTTTATCTTTATCAAACCTCGTGTGGGATTCATTAATCATTTCAAAAATAGGAATATAGCAATATTCATTTTTCTAGAGTAGACTATGATATAAATGAAAATAATATCTTATGTTATTGTCTATAAATATATGCTATAGTAATGAAATGTCTGCACACGCACAGACTGTAAACACCTGGAGAATCAGAATCTTTATTTCAGACCTATATGTAATAAATGTTAATAAAGATAAATAAATGAATATGAAATAAAAAAAGAAAGACATTATATTCAAATGATGAGAAATATTGATCATTCCCTGTTTGAAACTCAGTAGGAGGTAACACATGCTTATTAAGTCCAACCCCTATTTAGCTGATTGTATATATCTGTTTTGATTATACAGTCTAATATATACATAGACATTATCCATAAATAAATTTACTTTTTTTATTTTTATTTTACCACGTGTGACCTTAAAAATAATGAGTGTTTGTGCTACAAACCTTGTTAACTATACTTAAGCACCCTTATTTCTATTTTGTATGACATGGTGTACTTTTGTAAATGGTAACCCAAATCTCCACATAGTAACTCAAGTATGATAAAAACCAGTGAACTACATCAGGTATGCAATGATCTCTGGGGAGTATATAAATGATTATATAAATATCATACTTTATATAAATTCACTCCCAACATAGTCCTCACAAAGGGGAAAATATGTGTTTTTGTATGAGGCTGTAAATAAGTTAATTTATGACTGAAGATGAACATTTTAAAATTGGGGACTGACTAGTTGCTTGAGTGGCACGTTTACCAGTCTGGTCACGTCTTATTTGGATGGATGGGCAGATATGATGATGTCCTTTATGAAATAAAAATGTTGCATCCACCATAAATATTTTTCTCCAGTCAGTTAAACCTTTAAACGAAACATAACCCATAACGCTTACAATAATGTAAAAGTTTAGTGGACACCAAACTCTGTTGTCCTTGTTAAATGTAGGTAATCGGGATATGGTCATATGATTTGGACCCAGTGGCGCTCCGTAGAACGATTTCAGGCAGGTTTCATTTAAATTATTTCAGATAAATATTGCTTTACTATTGTTTTCTTTGTGTTGAAGTCTATTCTGGCATGTCTAACAAAGTCTAAAAATCCTTATTTGTTCTTTTTTTGTGCATTTAGAACCTAAATAACTTGAGAAGCAGAGAGACGAGAGATCACAAACGAAACCGGAAGTAACTATGGGTTACTTCTCTCGCCTTTTAGCTTGTCTTCGGTCTAACCACGCGGAGAGAGGAAAACTTCCCATAATTCTTTGCTCAGCATGGCTGCCTCCTGTTGTCGGCGTGTGTGTAAACAGTTGTAACATTAGCTAAAAGAAAGAAAGAAAAACAAAGTGCAGTTTTCATGAGTCTTTTAAACCGCACACAGATCTCTGGAAATCCGCTCTTTTCTTATCAAGCGACGAGGCCAAGATGAAGATCAAATCCAAGTCTTCGTATCACAAATCTGAGAACACCTTCAGGGTAAGAGCCCACAAACACTCTGCGGCGTGTTAATAGTACAGCAGCAAAGACAGAGCTGGGGAAAAGCTAGTTTGGTATGACTCTGTCACATTTAGAACAATTTGTGTACCATCTGCAGCACGTTTAAAGTCATGTGATCTGGGTTTGTTTTGTTTGTTTGTTTGTTTTTGTCTTTTTTAAGTTTCTCACATTTGCTGAAAGACTCGCCAACGTCAACATCAACGTGATCCATCGCATTGACAGAACTGGATCTTACGCTGAGGTTTGGAATCAAAATGTTCCGCTTCTTATTACGATCACCACTCTCATCCATTCATCTGTGTCTTACTGGTGAGGACTGTTTTGCTCTCTTTGCAGGAAGTAGAAACATACTTCTCTGAAGGACTGACAAAATGGAGGGACCTCAACTTGACAGAACATTTCAGTATGTATAAGGAAACATGAAGTATCCCATACTCAGGGGGAGCTTGTGTGTTAGTATTTTGTTGAAGAGATTTGCACACGAATCTAATACTTTTCCTTCACAGCCACGTTTCTGAAAGAGGTTTCCAACAAGAGCCAGTCATTCAACATGCTGGTTTTCCATCAGAAGTCCATCGTGGAATCTCTGAAAACCCACCTGGCCGTCCAGAACAGTCTGGCCTACCAACCCCTGCTAGAGTAAGAAGTATTTTATGTTATTTTTTGTAGCTGTAGGCTTGCATAGAATCATCAGGCTGCAATCTAAGCGCCTAATTTCTTCCTCCAGCCTCGTGGTGCAGCTGGCCAGAGACCTGCAGACCGACTTTTACCCCCACTTCCCAGATTTCTTCCTTCTGATCACCTCACTGCTGGACACAAAGGACACAGAGCTCCTGGAGTGGAGTTTCACCTGCCTCTCCTACCTCTACAAGTACCTGTGGAGGCTTATGGTGAAGGACATGACCAATATCTACAGGTGAGGCATAACATAAAGTCAGAGGGGCGAGTGATTTTTATTTTTTAATGAAATTTGAGATAATCAGGAATCTATTTTTAAGACTTAAAACGACCTAAGGAGCTAGTTTTGGGAAGCCAAGTGGGTGAAAATGGGTGTATGCTTTGTAATTTGACCCTAGAAGTGCTCTGGTTTTCCTTCTGCATCCTTTGCAGGTTACTTGTGTTACTAGAGATCAGATGCACATATGATGGTTAAATGTGAAACCTCTTTCCACCCCACAGTTTGTATAGCAGCCTGCTGGCACACAAGAAGGAGCACATCCGCATGTTTGCAGCAGAAAGCTTCTCCTTTTTGATGCGAAAGGTTGGTGATTTGGGTTCATGTCTCCACTTCTTGTTACTTTTGATTTACTTGTCATCTGCTGCGATACATTTCCATTGAACATCTTCTATTATTATAGACTGTTCTTGTACAGCACTTATTTCTACCTCTAAGTGCACCTTTATCTAACACTCACACACATTCACACGCCGATGTACTTGTTGGGAGGGACTTGGGTTAGCATCTTTCCCAAGGATAGGTTGGCATGCAGACTGGAGCATCCAGGGATCGAGCTGCCAAACTTCTGATTACCGATGACCTGCGCTAACTCCTGAGCTTGTAGCAGTTTCTTTCCTTCTACTGTATTTCTTTATTTGTCGTCGTTTTCCCCGATGAACTGGTGTATCACTTTGTCCTGCAGGTTCCAGATCTCGATGCTCTGCTCACCCACGTGTTCTCCGACCTAGAGGAGCACCCTGAGAAGGTGGAGGGAACGGGCCAGCTGATGTTTGAGATGTGCAAAGGAGTGCGAAACATGTTCCACTCTTGTGCTGCTAATGTGAGTTAACAGAGTGACTGCGCGGGATGGACGTCACTTAGGTTGAATTAAGCACTTTTAGGTGTTGTTTATATAACCTGATGTGTTAAGCAACCTTTTTATCTTTCCAGGCTTTCTCTGTGGCATTGCGTAAGCTTGGCCCAACAATGAGCCGTGGAGTCTCTCTCCCGTGGACCTCTGTTAGGGACGCTCTGGATCACATGGCCCAGGCAGCAGCCGATCACGTGGACAGAGAACACATGCTGGTTTTGTGGGAGTCCCTCCAGGTAAGGCTGGACTCTATTTTGTGTCTTTTCTGCACCTTTTTCACTCCTTGCCACGTGCTTTGATGGCGCCGTGTCCTCTTCTTAAGGCCAGCATGTCGGAGGTGCTGGATATTATGGAGGCAAAGGGGAAAGACGCAGACCCGGCAACAGAGCAGCTGGAGAGCCTTCTGTTCATTCTGCACACCCTGGCATCCCACAAGGGTGGAGCCAAGATTACCAAACCGGAGTCTGTCTGCCAGGTGAGAGGAGAATCTAAGAGATTGAATTATATATAGAAATGCGAGAAATTCCATGGATTATGTGCGGGAATATGAAGGTGGCGTCTCATGGTACGATCTCGTCCTCGCAGACGGTGTTGAGGCTGATTCAGAGCTCGTCTCTGTCAGCTTCCTGCTCCCGTCTTCTTCTCCAGATCACATCCTCTCTGCTCCTCGGGGAGAACGTCAGCCTGCCAAACTCACTCATCCAAGAGACTGTGCAAAAGGTTTGTGCATGTAAAGATGTTTTTTTGCATCTGGTGTCACAGTGTGCGTAAGGACTGCATTATAAACACGACCAGAAAGAGAAAGTTGCCCGTTGCTTACGTGCAGACTCTCTGGAAATCTTCTTTATTAGATATTTCGGAGCACTGTGGGGCACGATCTGATTCTGGAGTTCACCAAAGAGATGTTCACCATGAAACAGTTTGAGCAGGTGAGTTCACTTTTTATTTTCCTCTGTTTCTTTTAAATCTCGCGGACTAACTGGCTTCCTCCTCTGCTGTCCTCCAGCTCTTCCTCCCCACCCTGCTGCGCTTCACCACAGGGCTGTTCAACCAGGGTGATGCCCTCTCTCGCCACAGCAGCCTGGATGTGCTGGTCAGTCTCATCCTCGCTAAAGCTCCGCCCCCCACAGATGGCTCCATGGCCTTTGAAACCTACCCACTGCTTTTCACCGGTCAGACAACAGGGTGAGATTCTACGGTGAAATGTTATTTTCTACTGTTGTCGTGTCATTTTCCGCGAGGTAAATCTGTTTTCTCCTCCAGCAGAGTGTTTAGCAGGAAGGAGGAAATTCAGCGGAGCCATGCGGAGTCAGAGCAACTAGCTGTGCCTGAGCTGGTGCTGTCAATGATCAAAATTCCCGATGAGCAGGACCAACCCGTCAGTAACCTCTCGCTGCCGTGGGCTGCACTTGTACTGCTGCCTCATCTCAGGTAACTCCTCCCTGCAGTCAGACTCCTTTTGGTCACGTGTGCAACAGCATTGGTCAAAATGAGGAGGTGGTCAGGAGAGAGCTACAACAGTGAGTGTCTACAGGCATTTGTAAAGCGTCTTAGAGGCTCTGTCATGGTTTGGGGCTTTTGTCAGCCAGTGCTGTTGGGATCTTGTCAAAATTCATAGAAATATGAACACAGAAGCACATCAGTCATGGATTGGCCTCCCCTGGAGCTCGAAGCTCAACGTTGTTTAAGTCATCTTAACCGAGAACAAAACAAAAGGCAGCCAACATCCAGAGAAGATGCCTGGAGAGGATTAGTTTTGGTCCTGCATTGTAGTTTCATACATTCCTTTTTCTCCTGTCTGTTCAATGCGTAAAACTGGCTTTTGTCTGGCTTTTGTGCTGGGAGCCTGTAGTTTGGACAAAGGTTGCTGTGAGCTAACTTTACTAGTTGTGGCTCAAAGTTGCTGCTGCCAGGGAGCAGAAGTGAGGCATTCAGGAGCCAGGGATCCATCACTTCCTCTGGATTTTCATGGCAAACTCGACCCGAGTGCTTAAAATAAAAACCGACCACACCTCAGAGGCAACCCAGAGCAGCGGTCCCCACCTTTTTTGCGCCACGGACCAGTTTATGCCCGTCAGTATTTTCACGAACCGGCCTTTAAGGTGTCGCAGATAAATATAACAAAATAAAACCAGTACCAAAAAACAAGAAGATTTAGTCGGCGTTGGGGGTCCCTGACCCAGAGAGTTGGGGAAAGTTTCTGTTTTTTTTCTTTGTCAGCTTACAGTGTATTCATACACAGGCAAAAAAAGAGAGAAACATGTTAAATGTTAATATTTACACTCTTTTGCTTCAGGCCTCTGGCTCCAGCTGCTGTCGTACCTGATGTGACAGCTTTCCTAAACCGCCTCCTGTGTGAGATCGAGGCAGAGAAACTAGGGAAAGGTTTGTGATTATTTGTGTGGTTGGTTTTTTATTAACACAAATGTTTTCATTTGGTTGCAGTTTCATACGGCTCAGTGGGGTAATTAACAAGTACATCCAAAGCAAATAAAATAAGAACTGGAATTAATCATTTACCAACAAGTTAGAATGACTGGTTGTGATTTTAGTTATTTGTTAAAAGTCTGAGTTAACCTTAAACTTCATGTCTGGGATTTCTACAAGCCTAAATTTGGGCACCAAAACAAAAACAGATTAAATGAAGGGGAAAATTAAAATACTTTATATATTTAATCTCCCAAAATTTAATGAGGTTTTCCCCAAAACTGGTGAGGGGTGAAAAAGTAAACAATGATTTTTTTTTAAATTGCAAATTGAGTGACTCCTTTCTTTCCTGTCCTCTCTCCAGCTGCTCTGTTCGTAGCCAGGCAAGCCCTGAGCTGCCTCCTGTCTCTGGACAGCTCTGCCCAGCTTCTCTCACTGGTCACGGTGGAAAAAGTCAACTCGATCCTACAGTAAGCTCTGCGTGTGCGACCTAAAAACACATTTAGCACCCTTTCTCTGTTGCCGAATGAGTTTCCATCTATTGCATCAGATTCAAAACACCTTTCAACAACCTGTAACCGCTGTCGTCGTGATTGTCACAGGAAATTTCCCACAGACCTGTCAGCTCTGCTGCTAGCAGACTTGTACTACACCCGTCTGTCACTCAGTGGGGTTTCAGAGCACCTATCCCACAATGCCTTGCTTGAACTCTACCAGATGCTGTACTGCAACCTCTCGTCCAACATTTCTAAGGTTTGTGCCAGATCATAGGACATTTCAGAATAGTTTAAAGACCAAATTTTCCCCCCTTAAAGTTAAGATATCTCACAACCTGAAGGCGCTGGTGGTTTGGGTGTTGGTGAAAACAGACATATTTAAACACAGTTTTGTTCTTTTTTTAAAATTCAGATTCGTCTGCTGACTCTGAGGCTCTTCTCTCAGTTCGATGCAGAGCTCCCTCCACAGACTGAGGTACAACACCAGCAGATTCTCATTAAACACATTTAAAGTTTGGAGTTATTGGAAATGTTGTTCGACTGTCTTCGTCCAGGGTGAGGATAATGTGGAGGTGCAGTCGGTGTTCGCAGTGTGTCTGCAGGCGGAGTTGGTGCCGGCTTCAGTGCACGACTACAGAGAGAAGCTGCTTCACCTCCGGAAGCTGAGACACGACCTGGTGCCGCGCAGCCTGCCCCGCGGACCTCCTGGCACCATCCAGCAGGTGTGGAGAAGAGCAGTGATGAAAGCATGACGGGATGAATAATGATGCGTGTTCTTTATCATGTGATAAGTTTGGTTTTTTTTATTGTTGCAGAGAGTATAAATACATATGTTGGCATATATAATAATGTTACAGTGGCCCTGAGAGGCCAAACGGGCCGCAACTTAAGAAACACCAGCAATAAGATAAACGCTGCAAAAGCACAAAAACACAACGGAAATAGGAAAAAACAGTTTTCCAAAAGCACAAGGGAAGTGTTTCTGGGGAGACAATAACCCTGACGGACCAGTTGTAGAGGATTCATCGGTTTTATGAGCAAAGTAAAGATGAGAGGCAAGTGTGTTAGTCTAACTATTAGCCTAAAAATCCATCATCAGCATTATGTGAATGATGTGATTAAAACACACTTACCTAGCATGTTTTGGTTCCTGCAACTGGTCCGTCAGATTATTGTCTCCCCAGAAACACTTCCCTTGTGCTTTTGGAAAACTGTTTTTTCTATTTCTGTTTTCTTTTTTCCTGTTTCCGTTGTGTTTTTGTGCTTTTGCAGCGTTTATCTTATTGCTGGTGTTTTCTTAAGTTGCAGTCCGTTTGGCCTCTCAGAGCCACCGTATAATGTAGTTACAGAGAAGTTATACGAGTCCCGTTTATTTTTAGATGCTTGGGTGGATAACCTTCCTCTTGTTTGACTTCAGGTTCCTCTGCGGTACCTCATTGCAATGCTGTTTGTGAACTTCAGGCCACTGTGGGACCCAGTCATTGAACTTATTGTGTGAGTGTAAAATAATCACGCTTGTTTATACTTCAAGAACCATGTACGTTCCATCATCTATGCTCCAGTCTTGTTACTTGGGCCTTTCTAAATGAGTATGCTGCTATCGAATGCTGGGGATTTGCTCTAATCTGGCCTTTCTGTCTAATTACAGACATTTGTCTGCATTTCCTTTAAAACTACATTGACACTTTGAGGTATCCTTGGAAAACATTTGGCGTAAATGGGTTTCTGTCTTTCCTCGTTGCAGGAGCCATGCCAGAGGCATGGACAACAAGGACTTCTGGATGGTGTACCATGAACATCTGGAGATGGTGGCCGGGCTGGCAGGTAAGGCTGTTTGGTACTTGTGTCACAGCATGTAATTATAATGGCATTTATTTACCTATGAATCCCTTGAACTGCCAAAAACACGTTAAAAGGGAATTCTGCTTTCTGCATGTAACAGAGAAGGAATTGGAAGAAGAAGAAGATGATGATGATGAAGAAAAGCCCAGTGTTCAGAGCGAGCCAGGCTGTGATGTCATTGAAAGCGGGGATGTTGGGACTCTTTTCCTAGAGCAGCTGAAATTGGCCTCCGACCCCAGTGAAAGGACAGACTTCACTAACTTCCGCAGTTTACTGTGGCGCGCTATGGCCCAGTTTACCGACAGAGTGGAGCCACGCAGCCGGGAACTGACCCCGCTGCTGCTCAGGTTTATCAGGTCAGTGTCAGCTGATTGACCATTTTCCTTAAATTCCATCAGAAGAATATGTTCTGTTATCTGATCTTAAACTCGGCGCTTGTTTGCAGGAATGAGTTTTATCTCACAGACCTGCTGGTGGCGCCCACTCAGGACCTGAGGAAGAGAAGCGATGCTGCCCTGGAGGATAAATCAGGGATGACTGAGCACATGGAAGAAGGGGAAGAGGAGGAGGAGGCAGAGGAAGGAAGCAAACAGCTGAGGAAGTCACTTCCAAGAAGAGCAACGGCCAAGTAAGAAATATTTGTAATACTGCTGTCCTCAAATCGATGACGTTGTTTTCAGGGTTCTGATTTGCAAGCTGTTTTTGATTTTACCATAATTTTTTTACCCACGTTATTGCTCTGATGTTAAAGTAATAGCTGCTTTATTATTTGTAGTTACTAGTGCCATGTCTGGTTTCCATTTTCTCTTTAGACTTCATGTAAAGTGTGTTTAAGGTATTTAACTGCACAGCATTCAATTTATTTGTTGGATAATTGTCTAAAAATATCTCCCAAAATGCCACCTAAGTTCCTTGTTATTAGAGACCACTCTCCTAAATTTCACCTTGATGTGGTTTAAAAGAGCAAGTTATAAAAATACATTTCTCTCCAGGTTTTATGGGGTTAAAAGTGACCAAGAGACCAAAAATGTGTTTGCACCAAACCTTTATCAGATGTTATTTCTGCTTTGACGTTTGGCATTTTACCATGGAAGTCTATGTGGATCGAGTCTCTTTTGGATTCAGCCTCACGTGGCCAATCAGGGAACTGCAGCTTTTGTCACAAATTTTTTTTTTAGCTCTATGGGTTACCAGTTCAATTTAATTCAGCTTTATTTTTATAATGCCAAATCGCAAAAACAGTGGCCATCTGGGGCTTTAGACTCTACAATAATAGAGAGAAAACCCCAGCAATCACACTTCCCCCCTATGAACAAGTACTAGGCGACAGTGGGAAGGAAAAACTCGCTTTTAACAGGAAAAAGCCTCCAGCAGACTCAGGGAGGGGCGGCCATGTGTTGCAAGCGCTTGGGCGTGGGGGTAGTTTTTACCCAGTGTGCAGAATTAAATAAAGACTTCATAGAATAGAATAGAATAGAATAGAATAGAATAGAATTCAACTTTATTGTCATTGCACATGCACAGGTACAGGGCAACGAAATGCAGTTTGCATCCATCCAGAAGTGCTTTAGTGATATAGATATATTACAATATATATTAGGAATAATAAAGATATGTAAGTATATTACAGAAATGGGTCTATTATGGTATGTTATAATGTACACGGTATGAAGTATGTTCATCAACTTATATGTACCAGAAAACTTTCATTTTTTAAATGAAACTTTGATATAACTATAATATAATTCTAGTGTATTGTACAGTAAGTAGAAGAACATAATGAACTGAATTTGTCTTTTGTTTCTCAGACAGCTCATCGCTCATCTGAAAGTATTTGCCAAGTTCACCAACCCTCGAGCTCTCTATCTGGAAAGCAGCCTCCGTGAGCTCTATAATCAGGTAGTGCCCAAGTCTGTAGCATGCAGCGTCACACACCCTGTCCTTAAAACATACGAGTTGTTCCCTTACTCGAGTAGTTTTTGAGGCAGTTGCTATTTTCTTGCAGTTGTATCACAGATTTCTTCTCTTATCTACCTGTTGTTCAGCTGCTCACCCATCAGGATCAGCAGATTCAGCAAGTGGCCCTGGAGTGTGTCATCACGTACAAGGACCCCAACATAGTTCCGTACAAGTAAGGAAACGACCATAATCACCTCAGGAGACGGAGAGGACGTGATTACAGTGCAATTTCTCTTTGGCAGCAGCTCTCTCTCCCTCTGCCTCTTCTTCAGTGGTTTTATTGTTAAGGCTCTTATCATCAGCCCTCTGTGGTTACAGATGTAGGAATGCTGAGTTCCACCTCCGTGCTGTTTCTGTCTGACATTATGTTCTCTGCTGTCTGTTATCAAGATATCCATTTACCACACATTCAGCCAAGCTGCAGAAAGACGGTCTGATCCAGGGGCCGTTAGCATTACAGACGTGTGTGTGTGTGTGTGTGTGTGTGTGTGTGTGTGTGTGTGTGTGAGAGAGAGAGAGTGTGTGTGTGTGTGTTGCTTTGTTCAGGATCAGCCTGACACACTGAGCTGCTTTCAGAGTCTTAATTACATTATTTTGTAGATGGAATTCTTATTC